AGACCTTTGAATTCAGTACGATGGCTGCTGTGACAAATTACCACAAATGTGGTGCCTTAAAACAACACACATGGATTATCTTACAGTTCTGGAGGACCACGCTGGAAAGGGCCTTACAGGGCCGAAATCAGGGTGTCAGTGGGGCTGCGTTCTTTGTGGAGGCTCTTGGGGAGGATGGTTTCCTGGCCCTTCCAGAGGCCACCCCATTTTTAGGGACTCTCCATGTTCCTTATTGTGCTCTTGTCATTGGGGCCTTCGTCCTGGCCATTTCCTTAGCCCAGAGAACTCTTGCCCAGACCACCACATGAATGCTCCTCACCTGCTCCGGGTATTTGCTTCAACATTCCCTTCTCCACAAGGCCTGCTAGGACCACCCTATTTAAAGCTGTAACCCATTCCCCACCCCTAACATTCCAGCTCCGTTCTCCCTCCCGGCAATTCTCTTCCCAACATACTGCCAGATTCACATACTGTTCTTACAACCTATCTCCCCACTAAAATATCAGCTCCGCAAGGGCAGGAAATGTCTGCCTGTCTAGTGACCCATGGATCCCAGGTGCTTTCACTGCACCTGCCATGTAGTGGAATGAGTGAGGAAATGACCAAGTGAAAGAACCGAGTGTGAAGTCAGACCTCGGGCAGTGGGGAAAGGCCAACCTTTGTGACGACTGTCAAGCCGCCGTGAGAAGGTGGGCAGGCAGCCATAATAATGGCCAAGGTGCATGGAGAGTCTCTTCCCTGCCAGCATTTTGCATATTGAAACTCATTTGGTCCTCACAAATGCCTTCTGAGGTTGTCACTGCTATCCCTATCCCCATCTTCACAGATACGGAAACTGTGGAACAAAGAGGGTAAGGAACGAGCCAGGATGCAAACCTAAGCAGCCCGGCCCCAGAGCCCTCGTCCCTACCACGGATGAGGGGCAGTCGTAAGAGCTGTGCAGTGCACCGTTGTTCTCATTTCTCTGAGACGCTTTCCTGTTATCTAATGCCAGGCACATGGGCTGTTCCCCTGGAGGCAGAGACCTGCCTCTAGGGCAAAGGATGAGGTTAGAGAGAGAGGAAGGTAGAGGTGCATGTGCGTGCACATTGTCAACTGCTAGGGTGTCTTAGGGTTTGGTGATGTTAAACACTAGGAAACCTCTCTACCTATCAGCCTACGCTTTCGTGCTTTTTCTAAACTCAATGCTGAGCCCCATGACAGCCTACAGGCCCTGCCCACCTCCACCCCTTGGTTGGCATAGGAAGCGTTGCTGCTCACTCACAGCCTCTGCCCTGCTCGCCAGTTCTCCCCAGTGGGAGCACAATAGGCTGAACCATTTGCATACTTGAGTAAGTTGAAGGGAGAGGCTGAGGGAAGATGGTACCCAGGAGCAGGGCCTGGGAGGCTCCAAGTTTCCCCCCTCTGGGCCAAGTGGCCAGACTGGAAGGGGTGGATTTACTCCATCTGGAACACCTGAACTGTTTTTGACATGAAGGACTCAGAGCTGGCTGGAGGCCAAGATCTAATAAACTCTTATTTCCGTCAACAAGCAGGCTGGCAAGCCCGAAATCTGCCTTGGTTGTGAGCAGTCTGTAGCCTTTTCTGAATCCTCTGCACTCGCCAGTTCTCTTGCAACAGGTCCCCCATAAGCTGAGCCAGAAAGAGGTAGGGGCCCTTTTGTTAATCAGTTATTCTAAGTCAGGCCCTAGAGTGATTATTCCATTTCATCCGTACCACAACTCTGATTGATTGAAGATGTTAACACTCATCTCTTAGATTTCTGTTTCAGTCTTGAGGCAGAATTCCTTCATTTCCAGAAAAGTTCAGTTTTTGCTCTTAAGCCCTTCAACTGATTGGATGAGGCCCACCCACATTATCAAGGGTAAGGGCCATTATTTAAAGTCAGCTGATTGTAAATGTTAATCACATCCACAAAAGATCTTCACAGCAACATCTGGACAAGTGTTTGACCAAGCAGCTGGGTGTACCATAGCCTAGCCCAGTTGACACATAAAATCCCCATTGTAGGCAGCAACTATCTTATAGTCGGTACTTAACGAGTGCCCAGTGTCCCACTGAGCACTTCTACGTGCACTTGCGATTTTCCTCCTTAAGATGTTTAACAAAGCATGAACTTTGAGACTGCAGATGGTTAAACTGATTTGCCCAGGAGGAGTGGAGTCAGACCTAGAAACCAGGTTTGTCTGATGACTGCAAACCAGACTGCCTTCCAAAATCATCCAGTTTAATCATCTAGATTTAGCAATCTGGGGGGAATGAAAGAAGTGTGCCACAGTCACTCAGTTTGTCAGAGCTGGCTCCAGAACCCAGGTCTCAGCTCCCTCTCCAAACATCTCACCTCGCCATCCTGCCCCTCTGTGCCCAGAAGAGTCTGCATTTGAAACACTCCTTCCCCTACAGGACTCACTTCCTGGGACAACGGTGGCAGCAACTCTAGGTGGTCCGCAATTCCCAGGCGGGGTAGGATATACTAACAGGACACTGTGCAGAAGGGACCAGGCTATCACTGCCGTCTCAGGGAACAGACAAAATCACAGTCAGTGCCCCAAAACCACTTTATTGCTGAAAGAACTTCGCAATGAGACCCACTCAGAATATCAACATTGAAAGCTCCTTGAACTGAGTCTGAAAAGGAGCAATCTCATGACAAACCCATCTTCATGGCAGTTTGTGTTTCAGTGTGATGAAAGGGAGTGTGTAGAAAGCACTGCAGAATCGGACACTCTCTGTGCAGAGGCAAAGAAGGCTTTCTAGGACTCCCGTTTCTGGAGCCATGCTGTTTACTGGGTCTCCTTCCTCTGGGCCTTGCAATCTATCAGTCAGGGTTGTTTGATTGCAAGCAACAGAAACCAACAGTAGATAGCTTTAAAAATGAGAGGACATCAAAAGAAAACAAGGCAAAAAGTAGTTGAGTGGTATTTCTTATGGAATCATAGTAAGACTTGGAAAACCAATACTTGAGACCGTAATTAACCCAGGCAGCGCTGGGCCCTTCTGCAGCAGAAGCCCGGAAGCCTCCGGAGTGCTACATGACTGCAAGTCAGCTGTTTGGCCTCCAGACCCTGCATCTCTGTTCACATTTCCAGAAGTGAGAAACTGATTTGTTCGGCTTGGATCAAGCATCTGCCCCTGGACCCGGCCCAGGCAAGGCTTCATGTACGGCAGCATAGCTCTGGGAGCTGCCCAGGGTTCAGGGGCAATTATCTTTGAGCAGGGCACTCTGAGAAGTGGCTACCAGAATAGCCGTGTTTGCATTAGTAATCTGAGGCTTGTATAAGCAGATATCCACGCTTATGGACCTCTACATCTGTTGTACGTGTGTACACACGTTGCCATCCCTTTGTTCAGCCCTCTGGGCCTCCTACTCCACTTCCCTAGCTTTCAATATCTTAAAATAATTCACTGCAAAGGCAATCTTGGACTTTTAGCATCCTGAGACATTTGAGACAACAATGTGACTACCAGGAGGAAAGAGGTACCTACTGGCTGTTTTGTTGGTGCCTGGCACATAGTAGGTGTTGAGTGACTATGGAATAAGTAGCAGCCACATATCAGTGCTGGCATACATCCCCTTCTCCCTCCTCCCTGTTGGTTCAGAGGCTTTGCCATCTGATGGGTCCAAGGTTCTTCTGTAGACCACATGTCCTGTCACCAACACCCAGAATCAATAAAGTACATGCCATTCCTGGAGGAAAGGCAATGAGCCCAGCATTGCCTATGTCTAATGTAGGATTGGTATAAAAAAGAATGCCTGGCTGTGGGTGAGGGAATCTTGGGTGTCTGAAAACTGTGAAGTCATTGTTCAGAGAGACAAAGTGCCAGAACAGGTTGGCTCAGACCCCTGGGACCCCACCTGGCTCAGCACAGCTCTCCCACACTCTGTCTTTGTGTCATCCTTTATGAGTCTCTCTGAAATAATGACACAAGGGCCATATATCATTTGGTGTATAGTGAACACAGTGTAATTACACAAAATGATACTAAGAGGATTATAAAACCAATTTCCAGGCCATCTCTCAACCACCCGCTCTCCAGTGGGAGCTGGTGAGATCCCTTAAGCAGCGGTGGTTTCTGACACCTGTTCTTACTGTGACCTTGTTGAGATTCCCCCTCATCATTCATGGATAACCAAACCCTGCCGAAGTCCTTCTTGAACTGCTGCCCTGTTCTTGTCCCAGAAAGGACTGGGCTGATGTAGCTACACCCTGGTAGCGTGCCCATTCTTTGCAGATCAGCCTTCGATCCTGCTTATGCACAGTTTCAAAGGTTTGGTGAGCGTGGTGTTTAACAACGTGGCAATAGGCAGCTGTGTTGCTCTAGAGGTCTGCTGCTTCCAGTATTTCACACAGTGCCTCCCAAGGCCTTGCATTATCCAAGTAGAGACTGCTTTCTCTGTTTCAGAGGTAACAGGTCGCCTGTGATGGCACCAAGATCCAAACGGTAGTGGTCTGAGCACGAAGCCAGAATGAGGTACAGAGGTCATGGCCCAAAGGTCATGGAAGTATGACAGGGGCAATGACAGCACTACAGTATGGCCCTGACCAGTTGTTGCTACAAGCCTGCCATGGGCCACGTGTGCCAAACAGTACTAATATTTATATTACCTCCACACCCACAGCAGCTCCAGTAAGGAGATGGTATTGCCCCATGGTAGGGCGGAACAGAGGTCATGAGAAGCTGAATGACATGCCCAAAATGGCAGGATTCATAAACGGCCAGGCAGGATTCAAGTCCCGTCCATGTTCACTACAAGCCTCAGGCTCTGGGGCCCTCTCCGGACCATCTTCCCTCTAAAGTGGTGACCACAGAGCTGCAATGGCAGACAAACCCTAAAGGGCAGGAACCGGGTCTCAGTCTACTCGGGGCTCCCGAGGAGCATCGGGCAAGCTGCTCGGCCTCCCCGGGCCTCAGCTTCCCCAGCTGTAAACCGAGAGGTTGACTTGGGCTGTCTTCCTGTACCTTCGGGTGCCATCCGCCTCCCTGCCCTCTCTTTCCAGGAAGTCCGTCGTCCAGCTCGACCTCGCCAACACCAAGAAGGCAATGATCATCCCCGCCTTCGAAACGCTGCGCTACCGGCTCTCTTTCCCCAAGTCGAAGGCGGAGCTGCTGTCGATGCTGGACATGGGGACCCTCTTCACATTCAGGTGAGCAGCCCGCTGCTGCCCCGAGTGCCCGAAGGCCTCGCTCTGGGACGGCCAGACCCCACAGCTGCTGGCCCCAAGCTGTGTCCTTGGAACTTTCTCTGTCCACATGCCATGCACTTTGATTGGTACCTGGGTGACGGACATACTGTGTGCAGATGCAGGACTGGAAGGTTGAGCAGGACACTCAGCGTTTCCTTTAATTTCTTTTTTATTGAAGTGTGGTTGATACACAATCTTACATTAGTTCGAGCATATAACATATTGGTTCAACAGTTACCCATATTATTTAATCCTCCCGCCACTAGTATAACTACTGTCTGTCAGTGTAGGAAGATGTTTCCTTTTAATACTTCTCTTGGTTAGGTTCCTGATCCTGTCTCCTGCCTCTGAGGGCCCACTTTTATTTGCTTGGCCATTGATTCATTTGGTAAGTGGGGTTCATCCTATTAGTACCATGGTTGCTGTTTCCCCTTTTCTTTTCTCATGAGCAGTCTGTTCTCCGAGGTCCTCAGGCCTGGGATGGGTAGCAGTAGCTTCAGTATCTCAGGTCATCAAGGTGACTCTAAGGTTGGACGCAGTAGATGTGACCGCTGATCCCTGTTGCCTAAGTGACTGTTTCAAACAAACCCCCCCATTTTCCTGATTTTCCAGGCCCCTAAGTCCTGCAGGAACATCGGAGGGGAGCTCCCTGGCTCCTGTCCAAAATGCCCAGGGAGTTTGTATGGCTGCACGAGTGCAAAGGGATTCCTGTGTCCCAGGGACCGGCCATGGCACTGAGCATAGCACCCCTGGGGAAGTCGGGGTCCACCTGGTCTCTTGACAGAATGGCCTGAAGAGAGAGCCGTTGCCTCTGTCTGCTCCTAGTTTAAAGAAAAACCTTCATTTTGCTAAATGTAAGAATGACCAACACTTCCTTTGAGTACAAGAACACATTTCTAGACAATCTGAATTTTATTGAAAAGATTGCAATACTAACTTAGGTTTTCATACCGCTATTAAGTTACTAGAATTTTCTAGAAGGTTTTCGCAAGCTCTGTTTTGTGAAAATAACTTCATGAGACAGGTTATTCATTCAACAATTCAGAGAGATCCTTTTGCACATTGATACAGATAAAGAAACAGAGGAGTGGAGGGGTCCCCACGGAGTCAGGGCTCAAACTCAGCCGTCTTCCTCTGCCCAAAATTCTGGAAAGTAACCTGAAAGAGTTTAATACCCTCTAAAACCAAGCCTTCTTTCTTTTCAAAAGAGAGTAATAACAACTGCCATTGTACATACCCCATGCCAGGCACTGTGATCAGTTCATTTAATCCTCACAACAAATCTGTGAGGCAGATACTGTTAGCCCACTTTACAGATAAAGAAACTGAGGCCCAAGAGGCTAAATAGCCTGTCCAAGGACACACCACCTGTACTTGGTGGAGCCTGGGCTTAGCCCAGGTCTGGAACTACAGAGCCAGTGCTCTGAACCACATGCCATCAGCCCACTGATGAAGTCCTGAATGTTCTTACCTATCACTGCTTGAAGATACAGGTAAAAATTGAGACCCTGAGACCAAACCTTAGTCTGAGTTTCCCACAGATGCTGTAGCCTATTGGCTTAACACCTGGCAAATTTCCCTGGCATCCTTCTTTCCATCTCTATCCCCAGGGGATTTGAGAAATCATTTCAAGGCCCAGTGTCTGGGCATGAAACCTGGGGATGTTGCCTGCTGTGTCCATGACTACTGCCCTGGCCAACAGCTTGCAAGCCTTATGTCAAGGTCTCGGGATCAGACCTTCCCTCTGAGATCTTGCTTCTGTCACATCCCTCCAAATGGTAAACTCTTAGTCTCCAAGCAGCTGAAACTTACCCCCCACTGCTCCTGGAATGAGGAGTCATCTGTACCCTGACTGGTTCTTCGGGCAGTGGTTCTCAGAGTGTGGTCCCTGGACCAGCAGCCTCAGCATCTACTGCAGAGTTGTGAAATGCAGTCTCCAGCCCCATTCCATACCTGAGGTCAGAAACTCAGGGTGGAACCCAGCAATCTGACTGATAAAAAAATAGTCTTCCAGGTGATTCTGATAACACGGGTTTGGGAACCACTTACTCAAAACCGAATGCACCGAATCTCTTAAACATCCTACAGAATGTACCCAGGAGACCTCTCACATCACTAATTTTTTTGGAGGCGACCTGGTGTTGATGGTCTCAGAAAGCCAGCCTGCAGTCCAGTGTCTCCTAACAGGTTCCTCAAGGCATTTTCAGGCTGTGGTTTGCTTTAATGGCAGTTTAAGTGCACCTTGACCGTATTCTGTGCTGACCAGCCACTCGGCATGCTGTCAGCTTCCCAGGATGAACTAATGGAAGATACCTCCCCACCCAGGGGTCAGGACCAACTGAGCTGTCCCTGCCATTGCCCTCTCTTGTTTACATTATGATAGGCCAAAAGTTTATATTCTAAATAAGATGGCTGATACATGGATACCACTGAGAGGAAGACCACCGTGAATTATCCTATCTAGGAGCAAACAAAAGGAAATAATAAGAGAATATCTTCATATTTTGAGGAACTGCTATGTGTAAGACACTACTCTTGGTGTTTCATGTGCATTAATTTACATAATTCTCATAAATCCATGAAGCGGTCTTTGTTATTATTTCTGTTTTACCAAGAGAAGGAAACGAAGTTACAGAGGGATTAAGTCGCTTTTCTGCAGCTATTGAATTGACAGAATTCAACCCCAGACAGGCCGGCTCCCAGACCACAGTTTTCATCCACCTTGTTAAACTGCCTGCCAAGGAAGTAGCATTTATTGAGTACCTCCTGTATGCCAGCACTGTGCCACACTCTTTACACTTCTCATGGAGCTCCCCAGCAATTCAACAAGATAGGTTTTCTTTCTCCCAGGAGATGCAAGAGGAAAGTAAAGCCTAGTTTAAATGCTTTGTTGTACAAGATCCACAGCTCCTGAGTGGCTGCAGAGGTGACATTTGAACGCTGGAGCAGGGGCTCCACTGTGACGTGCTTTGAACCTAATGCAAGTTCACAGCCATCAGCTGCACGGGGCCAGTTCTGTCAAAGGCGTCAGATGTCAAGCCTGCCTTTGCAGCTAGTTCACAAATGGAAAATCGACTCCTTCCCGGCCTGATTTTTGGATTAGTTCCGACATCTCCCAATCTCTCTCCTTTTCACACTCCATTAAAGTGGAGTTCATCAGCCTTTCATTTTTCTTCCATTCAAGTGACCTTGGTTTTAGTGGAAATTGCTGAATTGGCGGACTTGGGGATTTGAGTCCCTGCCTTCTCCTGACCTGTCCATCTCACCCAGCAATACCACCTACTGACAGTCCTTTTACGGTGCCCATTCACCAACACTGGACGGTTCCCAGGGGTCAGGGAAGTCCAGACTCATGGTGGAGGAGCAAAATAAAGAAATAGCTGCCTTCTCTAACCTCTTTCTCTTGGGCCCTGTCTACTGCTTTGCTAGGCTCCCAGCCTCCTGCCCTCTCTTTGTAGCCTCTAGAGACATACCCTGACCCCACTAACTGGCTTCTGTCTTAGGTACCTGTCGAGTTTTTAGATTATTCATTAATCAATTTATTCAACTCAGTGTACAGTCATTGACTGCTTGCTCCCTCTACAGGCCAGAGTGTGGGTAACAGAGACATATTAGAGGAGTAACCCAGTGTAGCGGTTAAGGGTCCCGGCTCCTTGAGCCAGGCTGCTTAGGTTTAAATCCCAGCTCCATCTCTTACTGTTTATAACTTGATATTGGATAATCTATAAGAACTTTTCTACATAGCACATTTACAATACAATATAACCAGGATATGGTAAGTGCTTAATTAGTTTCTTATCATTGCAGTTTTGTAGGTGTATTCATTTCCTATTGCTGTATAACAAATTGCCACAAATCAGAAGCTTTAAACAATATAAATATCTTATCTCACAGTCTCTGAGGGTTGGAGGACCAGGGAGGGAATGGCTGGATTCTGTGCTCTGGGTCTCACAAGGCTGCAGTTCTCTAGACTGTTTGTCCTCCTCTGGGCTTGCTGGTTGTTTGCAGAATTCCTTCCTTGCGGTAGTAGGACTGAGGTCACCAGTTCCCTGCTGGCTCTTTGCCATGTGGCCTCCGTAGGCAGCTCACACATGGCTCTTTGCTTTCCTCTAGACCCAGACCTAAAGGTTCCACATGATTAGGTCAGGCTTGCCCCAATCATCTTCCCTTTAATTATTCCAAAGTCAACTGATTAGTAACCTTAATTACATCTACAAAGATCCCTTTTCCAAGTAGCATAACCTAAGAGTGATATATTCACAGGTTTTGCCTCAAGGCGAAAAACATTATACAAGGACAGGTCCCCTGCAGGTCATCTTAGACCTCTGCCTTCCACAGTGTTCTCTGGTAGGAATAACACTAGTACAGACTAACTAGACGTTAGTCCCAAGAAATGGAGCCCCAGAGCACTCCCGGAGTTCACTTACCCTTTGTAGTGAGAGTCTCCTCATTAGTGAAGGATGTAAATAATGGACTGGATTAGTTCCTAGGGTTGCCGTAACAAAGAGTACAAACTGGGTGGCTTAAAACAACAAAAATCTATTTTCTTACAGTTCTGGAAGCCAGAAATCCAGAATCAAGGTGTTGGCAGGTCCTTGCTTCCTCCAAAGGCTCCAGGGAAAAATCCTTCCTTGTTCTTTCTAGCTTCTGATAGTGGCTGGCAATCCTTGGCTTTCCTTGTCTCATGAGTGCATCACTGCAATCTCTGCCTTGGTCTTCACATGGTATTTTCCGTGTGTATCAACTTTTCCTCTTCTTATAATGACACCAGTCATTGGATTAGAGTCCACCCTGATCCACTATGGCCTCGCCTTGGTCACATCTGCAAAAGCCCCCATTCCAAAAAGGTCACATTCCTAGATGCCAGGATGAGGACTCAAACATTTCTTTTTTGGGGCCACAGCAAGGCCCCCATCAGCAGTGTTTTCTTCCTCCAGATCTGCAATGTTTGGGAAAGCTCAGCCTTCCTTCCACTCAGTGGCTTTTCTCCTTGTGTCCCAGGTACCACGTCTGGACAAAGGGCCATGCGCCCACAAACTTCGCCAAGTGGCGGACTGCCACCACGCCTTACCGGGTCGAGTGGGAGGCTGATTTCGAGCCCTATGTTGTCGTGAGGCGGGACTGCCCTGAGTATGACCGGAGGTTTGTGGGCTTTGGTTGGAACAAGGTGGCTCATATCATGGAACTGGATGCGCAGGTGAGCAGGATGGGAGGTCATGGACCTGGTGCTGCCGGGGGAGGAGAAGCCCAGATCTAAGAGCTGAAAGGGGACCTTTGAGGGAAGATAGCAGAGCCCTGAGAGGGGGCATGATGTGTTCAGTGGCCTAGAGTGAGATCATGGTAGCCCTAAATCTCAGGGTCTATGATTCCCAAGCCATTCATTTTCCCTCTACCCTTGGGTGAGAGTTGGATTCCTAGCCAGGACCCAGGCAAATGTGAGTGTCCTGTGACAAACCACTTCACCCCCTCATCCTCACTCAGTGATGAAGTTGAGCAAATGATGACTATTCATCACTCAGCCTGTGAGTTATGTAAGTACACAAAGCATTCTAGGAGTTTCACATAAATGACACAAAGCATACAGCTAAGATGCAGCTAATTATTCCACCCTGTAGCCAACAGTGATGAATCTTAGGCTGTATTTAGTCATGAAACACTTCATTCATTCAACTACTGCTTACTGAACACCTATTTCAAAAGAAATCTGCAGAATTCTAACAGGTTACACCAGGGGGCTGCCAGCTTTTTCTACAAAGGACCAGATAGCAAATTTGAGGGGGTTCTGTGGAGCCCACAGGTCTGCTTTGAACTATTCGATTCTGTCATTGCAGTTCAGTTACAGACAGTATTTGAACAAATGGGCATGGCTGTGTTTCAGTGAAACTTTATTTATACAACATGCAGTGGATCAGACAAGCTGGTTTGTCAACCCCTATATTAAGCAAAAGCAAACCTTAACTAATCTGGATAAGTTAGGAGAAGGATGCCCGGGTCCCTCAACCCCATCCTTTTTTCTCTGTATGCTGTTCTCTAAGGACCTCATGGAGCACAGTGCAAATATTTCTCAACAAGAGCACCCCAAATTCAGAAAGAGCAAGGTTAGATGCTCAGTGCTGGCCCCTCTCAGAATCACCTGGAGAACTTTCCAGCAATTCCAACATGTTTGAGGGCAGTCCTGGCTGATTTTAATCAACATCCAGGGTTGCAAACGACTGATAGAGAAAGAAGGTTGTAGAATAGTGTCTACATTTAACAACATAAAGCATGATCTTTAGTATCTATTCTTTCAATAATACTTGGAGGTGCTCAGTGCCGCTCAGACAGAAATGTTTAGTCGGCCTCAGCTTCTGCCTGAAAGAAAAGAAGTTTCAGAGTATTTGTGTATCCGGCAGCATGGGGAAATGAACTGGTTCAAATAAAGTTAAATTTTTCCAGCAATGAGATCTGGGCTTTGTTTGTTAGGCAACTTTGCCAGAAATCTTGAAAATATCTTATTTTCCTTTCTTTGCCAAAAGCATGTGCTAAAAATAATTTTACCCTTTTCAGAGATTTAAGGACACAGAGTCCCCATCTGACAAACAATCTACCCACACCCGCAGGTGCTAGCAGGGTCGGTAGGGCTCTCTGTCCGCACAGGAAATGTCCCAGACAGAAGTTCTTGCATTTTCTTTTGGTGGCTTTTCTCCCCCTTTCCTCACCATCAGATGTCATTTCCTGCTGCTGTTAGTATTCCTCTGTCTGTATCGACCACCTTTCCCCATCCTGATTTTCCCTTTCCGAGTTTATTCTGATCCATTGCATTGGGAAACCAGACCAAACCTTATCAGATATTATGTCTAAAATTAGAATACCTAGATTCTGACTGAAGGTGTGCTGGGTTCTCCTCTGAGTTACATGTCCTAAATTTGTGTCACCTCTTTTGGCTGTTTGGACGCTTTTTACCTTTGATCTGAGGTTCTATCTGTATTCTGCAAGGGGAGGAAGCCATATATATATATATGGTGGTGTGACTTGCAGTAAGGATGTGTAGTGGGAGTTTTGCTGTGGATGAGATCAGTCCAGCAGAACCTTCTATTTTTTTTCCTTTACTCCTTTTTGGTCCCCATTTCTGTACTAATCCGTGGAGGCTGTCAAATCTCCTCAAGCCCTATAAGAAATCACATAAAACAGATGTCATTTAATTGAGCAAGAGAATCTCTCACAACTTGCTTCATGCTAGAGCAACCACATGGGTGTTGCTCACGTACATCAAGAACACTATCACGGGTCATGTGCTCTGCCCAGCATTATACATATATCACTGCTCATCTTTCAAAGGACATGTTAGTACTTGAACTTTAGAGGCGAGAAAACTAAGGTTCAGAGAAGCCAAGTAATTTGCCCAAGGCCATGGGAACAGCCCTGCACTGATCCTGCCCGGCGCGGTGGTCCTGTCCGTCATTCTGCGCCCCCCCGCCCCCCCACCCCCTTGCTCCATTCACTCGTTCGTCATCCGGCCACGTGCTTGGGCGTGCGCAGTCCGTTGCTGAGCATGCTTGCAGGTGCTCACGCTGCTCTTGTCTTCCAGGAATACGAATTCACTGTGCTGCCCAATGCCTACATGATCCACATGCCTCATGCCCCCAGCTTCGACATCACCAAGTTCCGGTCCAACAAGCAATACCGCATCTGTCTCAAAACCCTGAAGGAGGAGTTTCAGCAGGACATGTCCCGCCGCTATGGCTTTGCCGCCCTCAAATATCTCACGGCCGAGAACAACAGCTAGCACCGAGAAGCCCACCCCTGGGAAGGCATCCTGCAGGCAGAGAGCCACGTGCTGTTTGGGGCCCAGCCTTCAAACTCAAAATTGAGCGATGCTTTTTTGGATTGTATTCATTTGTCTCTTTGGCCCCACAAAGCTGCCCACACCACGGGGACCTGGAATGAGGATCCGGCTGGCCTCCCTCTGCCCCGGGACCCGGCGCTCCCCGAGTGTGGCATCTATGCAGTCTCTTCGAGAACAGGGCACAGAGAAGGGAGAGGGAGCAAAGGGCTCGTCCTACCACAAAGCCACAGACCCCATAGGTCTTTAGGGTGTCCCCATGTTTTGTAAGACAGGGAAGGCAGGGTGCTGCCGGTTAGCGGTCCCAGGAAACGAAAGCAATCACGCGTCTTCATTCGGAGGAATATTCGTTCTTGCCTGTAATCCAGCTGGGTACCCCAGGGGAGGGCGCACCGATGTTCTGAGCCAGCCATCTGGAGAAAACCCGGTGGGGGACATTTTACCTGGCAGGACCTGCTGGGGGGTTGGTTGGTCCTTTCTCCTCAAGGTCACTCTTGTTTTATTTAGATTTATTTTTGTTTGGGGGGATTTTGTTGGTTTGTTTTTGGTCCTGGAACATCTGGTCTTTTAAGGCTCTGAAGGAAAATGAGCTGCCTCAGCTACCATCCCTTTATCAGCAGTGGCCCAGCAGGGGCGACGAGAGTTTTCGGCCGGTACTTACACAGGGCCGCCTTCTTCAGGGTTACCACTGAGGCCCCCATGACCTCAACTTCCCGCTGTCCCGAATCCAGGGGCCAAGATGGGGATGCAGAAATACCAAGATCAACTGACATAGCCGGTCCCGTTTCCCTAGTGGTGACTAGGCATGGGGAGAGGGCGTGGAAGAGACTGTTTCACTGCACATGAAGGGTACGAACCTCTTGGGCCTTTGCAAGAACTTGAATCATTCATGCGAGCCCGGCTCTGAAGAGCCACGTGCCCATTTGGAGCCCTTTGGAAAGAATGCGTTGGTTCCTGCCCACTTCACTGTGGTGGGGATGGGGTCCTGACTCCAGGCTCCCTCCGAGACCTGTCCAGAGGATAGGCGAGTACGTTCACGGCAACACAGATTGAGGAAACACTGGACTTTTGACCCATTTTCTGGAATCTCCAATATTAATGTTGTGTTTACACGGATGAGAGCAAGAGTCAGTGCCCTACGGTCTGCTGGGCTGTTTGTATTGAGTTGCAATGTGACCAGCGAACGCTGCATTAAATAAATGAAAGTGCGGACTATTTCTTCCCCACTCCCTTCCCGCTCTCGTAAGAAGCACCGAGGCATCTCAGTGCAGAGCAACATCGATACATGCAGCCTTACACTTTCAGTTCCCCCGTCTTAGTTTTCTCATCATTTGAACTTTAACTTTTGTTCTCCTTGCCCAGGGTTAGTTCTCACCTTCTTCTCTAATCCACAAAGCAGTTGCCGATTTTCCTTTTAGCTTCCATCTCAACCCTAAAGCCAGGTGTTTTATATCCCAGATGTGGGCTAGCAAGGTAAACTGTGGCAATGAATAATAAAGTGAGCCCCCCATGCCTTGGTCCTGGTAGTCATGGGAAACACCCCCCAGCAGTCTGACTCCTGAGACGCCTCTAGGTGTTACATGCTCAAGGGGATATTTCAGTAAGGTTTATAAAAAAATCTAGGGAAAAACTATTAGGACTAATTCTCACACAGATTGTGTGTGTGTGTACACACGTGTGTGTACATATATGTCATGCGCATATATTACATATATATAACGTATATTACAGAATTAACACATGAATACTATATAAAGTAAAACATTACAGAAGTATTCAGAGTGCACATTAAAGCCCCTTTCTCCACTGGTGTGTGGGAGTTGACTCCTACAGCTCACAAGAATTTACTATGTGCATCTCTTCCCTACGCCGTTTAATGACATCACATTTGCAGTCTGAAATTGGCCATGGTGGGAGTATTTACATTATGAAAATCAGAAAACACATCAGCTGGGCTACTGCCACCCTAAGAGGCAGTCATTAAACATTTACCAGCACACCAGTGCCTATTTCTCTTTCCTGTGCGCACACACACACACACACACACGCTCAAAATTCTCTTCCTTCTCACAGTTTTTTAATTAATCACTACCAGCTACTTGAGCCAAGGGAAAATGTGCTGGTAACACTGATTCCTCAATGTTAAAAATCAGTTTTTCATTCCCTAAAGCCTTTTATGTTTTAATTTCTCATGGCACCTGGATCATGCCCAGCCACCGCGCTTTCACTTGCATTTCTATGGGAATAGTAGTGACCACGTAATTTATCATGCAAACTGGGTCACCTCTGAGAATGAAAGAAAGTGCTAATTACTTTGAGACAATAGGTATGAATTGGAGGATGATGTAGCCTCATGTACGCTGAAGTTATTAAAGCCAGGAAGTGACCCTCCATATCAACAGGACAAAATCCTGTTTCCCCAAAGACAGGTGTCCGATGCTCTAAAGCCAATCTCACTTAAGTCTGGAGCTCAGATGTTGACTGATTTCCAAGTTCCAGCACAGAGGCTGCCAACCCAGCAAAGGCTGAGGTCTGCAGAGCCAGCAGCATGAGTTCCCAGAACTTACACTGGGAACAGCAGCTCACACCAGCCCCAGCTCATGGGGGCTGCAGCCATGTGGGCAGACGTCATTGCCATAGATGTGGATTCCTTCTTATCAGTTGCCTAAGGTAAAACAAGCTTATCAAGGGTCACACTGGTGTTCTCATACTTAAATAAGCCACATACCATCTTGGCTTTCAGCTGTGAGGAAGGAAAGGATTCTCTGATTTTGCTCCAATAATATTCGGCATCAAGGAAAGCTAAGATTGATTGAACAACCACTATGTGGTTGCATGCAATAGCTCGTTGAACCCGTGCAACAAAACTGCAAAGTGGATATTAGTATTTATAGATGAGGAAACTGAGTCAGCTCCAAGAATTAAGTAACTTACTTAAATTCACATTGTCAATATACAGCAGAACCAGAATTTCAACCCATGCCTAGTTGTTCGAATCCAAAAGCACATTATGTACAATACATCTTCCTTCCCTAATGAAAGGGAAACAGGTTAATACCTTGTATCAGCAGACAGGAGGATTTGAACCTCCAGAGGAAAATGATTACATTTCTAGTCATCCTTCAGCATCCATTCAGGAACATTCACAGCCTAGACTGCAGTCTCTCTTAGCTGCTCCAAATGTTGCTATGTTCATGGACTTTCTGAAAATTCATGTGAAATAGACCTGAACAGTCTGTAATCATTTAGACAGCTGGGATCAACTCTGCAGCTAGGTGCAGTCATTGATTCCCCGAATGCTTCTGGGTTATTTACTAGATTACAGCATAGAAGTAGAGACATTTCTAAGCTCCCCCTTGGACCTCTGGAAGATGCTGCTTCCAAGTCATCTCTCTGAGTGCGTTGAGCGGATTTACAGAGCACATACTTGCTGAGTTGACTAATGGCTTCTTTGTACCCCATCGTGAATGGACAGATCCCACTTTAATTCTGTTCTTTTCAAAAACTCTACTGCCCGAGTTAAGGCTTCATTAGTGGTCATCAGGCCTTTAAGAAGCTCCTTTAAAATTCCCTCTTAGACATGGTTCCTACCCATCTTAAAGGTAAGAGCTGCCATGTGCTGAAACAAGACTTCTGTGGTCGTTGGCACTGGTGAGTCCTGGCAGCAACATTATAATACAGGGAAGGTACTATCATCCCTATTATTTAGCTAATGGAACCAGCCATACCAGAGAAATTATGTAACTTGCCCAAAACCACACATATTCATGGAAGTGCTGGAATTTGAAACAAAATCCAGCTGATTTCTAAAACCCATGTCTCTCCAATATGCTGCTGTCTCCTCATTTGATACTGGACTCAGTTTGGCTGCTGGGCCTCTGCAGTCACATCTTCATGGGGCTCATGGTGATGGAATTTTTTTCCCCTCCCCTTCTTATCCTAAGGGTTTATTCCAATTTAATGCTGTTTAGGTTTGTGGAGTGTCAGTTATCTGCTAAATGCATTCTAAGACATCTCAGATCCGTGGAATCCAAAGTCAGAGGTACCATGGTCTTTGTTTTCATTCATTTAACAAAAATGTAGTGAGTGCCCTCCAATGTCAAGATGTCAAGGAATTACTGGTGATACCAGAAAGGAGATAATGGGGGCACTGAAAAAATGTAGGGTTTCCCATGGTGAGTACTTGATGGGTTGGTTATTGGTTTGTTCCAACACATTCAGCAAGTCTTGAGAAACAGTGTCTTCTGGGATGAAAGAATGTCTGTCAATCTGGGAAATGTTCACCAAAGTTTGGTGCCAAGAGCATCTGATCTGTGAGACTAGGATGATGTCATGAAATAATTGACAGAATTGCAAGGATAATACAAAGAACTTCAGTATTCCCTACATTTAGATTCACAAAATGTGTCTAAATTTAGCCAGGTATCTGTCTAATTTTTTAAAAACAAGGACTTTCTTTTATATTACCACAATGCAATGATCAAATTTAAGAAATTTAACATTAATACAATACTTTCATCTAATATAAAATCCACATTCAAAGTTTGCCATTTCTAATATCTTTGTAGCAGTAACCATCCCCACCCCAAACCCCATCTGTACCCTCTATTCCAGAATCCAATTCAAAACTACAATAAGTTGCCTTTAGCCTAATCAGGAACAATTCCTTGGTCCTTTGCACCTTATGACAGTGATATTTTTTAAGAGTACAGGCAGTTGTCTTGCTAGTTCACTCGTTTGAATGAGAAATACGTGTCCATGTTTAAGGCACATCATAAAATAGGTATACGTGTATATGTGACTTTTAGTTCGTTAATATTACATAGTATTTTTTGTAACATAAAATTTTATGGCAGATAGTATTAAAGAAGCCAGGACTCAGTACATTTACCTCAGTGTGTATGCACATACATTGGTGAGATGGTCCAACAGGTGGGACCCTGTGGCGATACATACTGTCATAGGGCACATTACTACCCCCATGTATTTGCTTTATCACCAGACAATGAAAGTGATCACTCTCTACCTGCTTGAAAATGTTGTAGCAATTCTCAAGATATATTCACTCATTGAAATGCTTTGTGTGTTAGGATGGATGATATTATATCAGGATATAAAGGTGAACACTTTTTTCAGTTTCCCAGATCTGACAAGGAAAATGATAAACAGCAATGTGAGAATTCTTACCTTCCCCTCGATTTCATTATGCATGGACCCACATTAGCTAGTCCAGTCATATTTCCACCCTCCCCAGAGGTTATTTAATAGTTAGGTGGAACTGAGCAACTGGGTTCCCTTCCCCAGGAATAATAAAAAAAGCATCCAGTATTCAGACCTGTAGAAGATCAGAAACGTCTTCTAACTGGGTCTCACCACACTGATACCAGCACCCTTGATGTGGAAGGACAACAAACGCTCTTTGTGTACACTGGCTTGGCAATCTGGTCTCAAAACAACAAGCTCCACTCATAAGTCCCTCAGCAATGCCTCTTCTTGCTGGTCCCTGTCACTGTCACACCAGGTCAGTCACTCTCAGATTCCAGAACCCCAGGAATGCCTGCATAAGTCATGCACTCTGAAGTCTCGTGTGTCTTGCATATATTCCTAAACAGATGATAATTCTGAGCTTGGGCATGTCATTAACTCTGGGTTATTTGAGTATAAAAGCCTGTGTCTAATCCAGCAGGAAAGACTGATGGAAGAACCCTATTTAATCAGCTGCTCTGATAACACCTACTTCAAACATTCTCATTGTTCAGAGCCCCCTGTTAACAATCACAGCTACCATGTACAGGCACTTACGTGCTGGCGTGCTAAATCTTGCTTCTGTTGCCTATAGGAATCCCAGGAGAGGAGGGATTATTATTTTCATAAATGAGGAAACCAAGGCTCAGTGAGATGAAGTGATTGGTGGGGCTGCAAACCAAACACTACTTTTCTGACTCTCCAAGTTTGGCAGATGGAAGCAAAGTGAGTATGGGATCGGGGCACAATGAGCATGGAGCCAAACCCATCACAGGCCGAGCCGGACCACACAGGCTCCCTCCCTGAGAGTCTAAGCCCTTTCATCCTGCTGCTCAGCACTTGTGAACCATTCTGAATAATGCAGGCAATGATCAGTCCAAAGATGGGAAGGAGCAAAATAGAACAAACATTTACGGACCGGTATTCAATGCTATTTAACCAGCAATAGACAATATGATGTAGGTATTATCTC